AGAAAGATATTTTTCTTTCTTATTTTCTATCTCTTTATCACATATCAAGAAAGCAATTAACAATTATTTCATCAAAGTATTCCTATAGAAGCGATAGTGTAGGCTATTATAGAAGTAATACATTATCTTTTACTAAGAAATGTAAAAATCAAACAGAAAGATCATTATATAATATCAAGTAAGCATTAATTGCTATTCAAACTGTAGAAAAAAAAGTAGCTGTAATTATTGGAAATCCTATCAATCATAGTATGATTTCGATCAGAATGATACAAGTGTATCTGTTAAAAAAACGATGAGAATTTTATACTGCTTCAATTATCGTGTTCTTGAACATTATACTTTATGCCAATCAGATAAATATGAAATTTGAAGCATCTTGTAAGAATAAAAATAAATATAAACAGTTGTTGTACTCTTGATGTTTAAATATCAATGATTGACTTTAAACCTATGCAATATCTATTTACTTTTATTTCTGCTAATAAAATCGTATTTAAAAATGAATTTCATAAGCAACTTTGAAATGTCGAAATTATCATACATGATAAATTCCACATTATAGTAAACCGCATTGTCAATTCTATGGTGAGTAAAAAACACAACTATTTTTTGTTGAATTTAAGAAAAATATTTGATTCTCAGAGATACATTCTAGTGTTTATTTTATAGAATTCATATTAACGATAGATGTCATAAATGTATATTGAACAGTGGTCATAAATGAACCGATGGTTTCACTTTTTAACCAATAAAAAATGAATAATTTGAAAGAAAGAATGAAAAGTAAGCAATAAAAAGAAAAGGCTCGATCGATCGGTCGAGTGCATAAAGAAAGAAATAAAAAAAAAAGCATTTCATTCGATTCTGTTAGCAGTCGGTAATTTTCAAAACGCTTCAAATTTTGGAAGAGAATAAGAAAAAGTGAGAGAGAGGGGAAGGGAGAGAGAGAAAAAAAACTTCATATAAGTCTCCACATTTCATTGTCGATCTGAATGTCTGAGACGCATGAAGAAAAATAATAATAAATAAAAATATTTTTCTTTTTTTTCTTTTTTGATATTCAGCATGTCGATTTATTAAATAATAAAAATATCATTTAAAATATGTCGACAACAGCTTATCGAAGTACTCATTCATCAAGATCATTTACACGGAAACATATTCGAACATCACCCACTAATGCTATTCTTCCATCCATGACAAATGATCGTACACGATTTCAATCACAAACAAATAATATTCCTCCACCGGTACCACGTATACGTGAATCATTATCAACTAATTCAATAACATCATCAAAAACTTCATCAACAATAACTGCATCTCCATCACTTCCATTTCAAACATTATCATCACCAAATTCTTCAAATCAAAATACAACAAATCAAAATTCTAAACAACCATATACATTTAGTAATCCACCACGTGAACTACAACGACAATCTATACAAAATATGAAATATTTACGTAGTAATCATTTACGTCAACGTGTTTCATCAGCACCAGATGAAAATTCATCTCAAAATTCTCCACGTTCAATTATAAATCAACAAAAACCATCATCAGCTAATGAATCATCAACACCACGTTCACATGATGATCATCATATTCAACAATTACCGACAAATCATGTATTAAAACGTGATGAACAACAAAAATGTTCATTAAATGCTTTAATTAAAGAACAAGAACGATCAAAAGTTCCTAAAGCCGTACAAAAACGACGAATTATTTTATTATTTCGTCGTTTACCACCATCAACATCACCATTAATATCACCAAGACAATTACAAAATTCTTCACCAATTAAACCAGATATAATTTCAAATGATATACATCAACGAGATAAAAAGATTGAAGATGAAATTCAATATTTTACAAATAATACAAGTGAAAAATTTTCTTA